ATAAAAGTGATCAATTAATTTGTTGTCTATCAAGAATAAACTATTTTTTTTTTTTAGATATTGGCGTAAATTGTAGCTTTTTTTAAGTTAAAAAAATTATATGTGGAAACTTAACATTTCAGAGATATTTAATTTTTTATTTGTCTATAAGTTATAAAAAAATTGCGACCGCCATTATATACCTATTACAATTTTATATCAACCTATTAAATGTCGAAATTTTTCAAAATTATAATTTTTATTTTTCTTTTTCCAGTTGGCTCGGCCGAATCAGCTAATTTCTGTTGGCGACTTTTTTATTATTAATTTTTCATAGATTCGTTTGAAAAATTATTCCTGTTTTACTTGTTACAATAAAACAAAATTATTTTGATATTAATATAATGTTTAACAATTAGTATTTTGACTAAACTTCTGCAAAATAAAAATTTTAGTGATAGCATAATTACTTACTGTGCTGGCGAGTGATACGTTATTCAAACCAGATTGATCCTGAAGATTGTCATCCAGTAAAACAAATTTGTCATTAGATGCATAACTAATATTAGTATCACCGTATACATGTTTATCTAGCTTATTAACATCTACTTCATTTTCAAAATCATTGAGACTAATATTGTTACTATTATCATTAAAATTATATACAGGACTGAGGGAAGAACTGTAATTTGTATAACCACCAGCAAAACGACCGATATCGGTATCACTATTTACATCTTCATCGGTGTCATTTGTATTAACTTCATTTTCAGAATCATTAATAATTTTTTCGACACCAGACTGGTTACTATCAACACTAACGTTATTGTCACAGTATTTCTGTTCGTTCATCATAACATATTTCTTTACATTGTTCTTAATTGCTATTGAATTTCGCTTTATTTTCTGATAACATCTATTTACATAACTTTTTACATTTTCACATATATCAATCCAACCGACACCACTAGATTTGTCAACGGCTGCTCTGGATAACTTTTGCACAGAGTCACAAACCATATCCACTTGATCAACTTGAGTTATTTTATACACGTTAATAATTGCTTTAGCAATGTCTTCTACAGAAATTTCTTGTTTATTCGTCATTTTGATAAAAAAAAAATACAATTAATGAAAAACACTGAACATATCAAATAAAATAATAGATGAATACCTTAGCGCATACAAAACATTAATAAGTAGCACCGCGACATTCTTACCAAAAATTAGAAATAATATATAGTGGCTATCCATAACTGAGAATTTTAGCCAATCAACGGAGACAATAGGTGTTGAGAAAAACAGCACGGTGCCAGGATTTAAATAGGTTGTTTAACTTAAAAAAGGAATTCTTAATATACTCATGTAACTGTGCCAAAAGTTTGTTAATAGCTTTTGATAATAATTAACATACCAGTTATTTGAGATAATAGATTATGACAAATTGAGAAAAGCACTGTTGTTTTTTAACTGAAGAATTTATGAGATAATCAATCACACCATGTTTAATTTGAGAAAAAAGGAGATGAGGACGGGATGTCAAATTTTGATAAACTACAAGTGTTGAATTTAGACTAAGTTGTACAAACAAAACACCTGTGCTTAAATAAAAAAATCAGGAAAAAAATACCAAAAAATGCTGCGGCTGAGTCGATCGGATTTGACAGGGGCGCTACTTGGTCATGAATTAGTGCTAAAATTTGAGCCCCTGTCTCATCCAGTTGAGGTTTTACTACTCCTCCTTCAATTTTTTTAAGCTGCACTAAAAAATAAGAAAGACAAAAACGAAAATAAAAATAATGCTGTTTGTTTTTTAACTTTTATAAGTAGTTTAAAAATCTTTAAAAATGGAAAACACATTACAGATATTGATAAAATTATATAACATATAAAAAGAGTACATAAGTATATGTTTAAAAATTATCATAATTTTATTTACATTGTGATTAAATCAATTGAATGTGTGTTAAATCATATTATGACTACATATATTTAGTTCAAATAAATATATAATTTTTAACATATTGTGTATTACATAATTTAAAACTTTTAGGTATGCTTTAAACTTGTCCATCTCTGACTTATCCCTGACTTTCAGATAATATCACAGGAAAAGGCTTTATGTAAACTATCCATTTTGTTTAGAAAATTATCTTTAAGCCTATTTCTGCATACATTTTTATTGTGTTTTTGAATAAATTATTAATAAATATCTAATGTTAAAAAATGATTTTACATATCATACTAGAACTAAGGTACCTACGAACCTATTAATTACTATTGCCACTGGAGAGTGGGCATGCAAATATGACTGCAAATTTTATAAGAGCATATATCTTTAAATGAGTTTAAATAAGATAAACAAATACCAACCGTGTCCTGTCTCCTTTTCTCTTCTGCTTCCTCAACTGCCTCTCTAGTTAATCCTAGATTCTCAAGGAATTTTGTTTTCTAAAATTTAATAACAAAAATTATGTGATTAGAAATATAAATTATATACCATAGAGCGGAGTTACTTGACATTAGCAAGGTAAATTTTCACAATAATGTACCATTTATAAAAAAATACGGTAAAATATAAAATGGACAAACTTATACATTCTTTACCAGACAGACAGCAAATAAACACTGAAGGAACTGCCACTATGCTAGGACAATTTTAAATTGGAACTCGAAGTGGTACTCGATTGTATTAAAATTTATTTCAGAGTTTTACTATTAGTGACAAAAGGTAAGTTCTAAGGTCATGGGTCTTATTGGGTAATAATTTTTACAGTTTGCGGTTATGTAGTAGTTACTATTAAATGATTTGGAATTGACTTTGAATTAATTGTTCAATAACTTTAGTTTTATTAAATTTTTTAAATTTTTAGTACGTACTTTTCTTGTAATTTTATTGACAAACCAAAAAATGTTTGTTTTCTAAGGCAAATACAGATTATTTTAATTTTTTTGTGTAATTGGCATCAACTAATATATTTATTTATTTATTGGCAAAACCTCGTGTTCTTTGTTACTTTCCCACCACCACTTTAGGAACATCACTTTTAATTAGAACGCAACAGTGAATCCAACCTATGTACCTATTAGAATTAATATTTAATTCGTTAAATTAAGTAAAAAATCCTGTCACCGGTGAGTAGATGAGCTAGAGCGGGATTGGATCACTTTGGTAAGCTGTCCATCCAGTTTTCAACTCGGATGACGTAGGCCCTGAAGAAGTAGCCGAAAACGAAGAAGAAGTGATCGACAATGACCAGAAAGAGGTCTTTACCTTCAGAACACCCCCGAAGAACCCCTAAACAAAAGAACTGCCCTAAGGGTAGCCGCAGGTAACCAGAGACGTCATAGGTACAGGTATATACAGGTGTGAAAAATGTCACCTGTAGAGATGAGACTGAAGAGTACTGACGAGCCTCGCCTAGCCTAGCCCGTATTGTAGGATTTAAAAAAAGAAAATGTCCCCAAAGAACAATGTAATACATCCTTAACGAACCAACACCGATTGGCAATGATTAGGATAAATGTAAATGTAAACAAATGTCTGAATATGATAAAACATATTTATTAAATATTATTGTAGTAATTAAAATTTGATATCTTAATAAAAGGTTATAGTTCAAATAAAAGATATCACAATCATTTCAAAAACAAAAAAAAATGTATACATTGTAAATAGTTAATTCATATTTGGTTTTGAGTAAGGATTATTTAAGAATAAAAAATGTGTTTGGTGCTGTTTTTTAATTTATTAAAAAATAAAATAATTTTGTGACCGTTCAAAGTGATTTTTTTAAAAAAAATTACTAAAGGAGGTACACATATAATGGATTAATATATATATATATATATATATATATATATATATATATAACACAAATAAGTGGGTAAGTCAACTATTAAATAAAAAGCATTTTTTTCATATATTTGTTTATTTTATTTATCAATTGTATACTAAAAAAACAATTACAGTAACTATTTATTATTATTTTAACAATCAAACTTTTAACTACATAATAAGGATTATTTTTGTCGTTTTGCATACTTAATAACACTTGAAAGTCCTTATTGCAATTTTGGAGAATTGAGGGTTAATTTACAATGTTTTCTTTTTTCTTACATTTAATACAAATAATGTTTACACAGCATCTGTTGTAGTTAATGATGTGTATTGGTGAATGACATTCAATACAGGTATATACACTGTCACTCATAATGATAACAACAGACAAATAGGATTTTATAGTTTATTTAATAATAAAATTTTAAACATAAACAAAGCATTGTACTTCCTGGTTTCCAAGTTCCACAAAATTATCTCTTAAATTATCTAGACTAAAAGTGAAATCATGAATAACTATAGATTTATTTCCAAACCATATTTTCCACGGTGCATAGTCTGTTCAATCGGTGCTATGGGATAGTAATTTTTATGGTTACCAATTACATAAGCTATAGTTTGATTTAGTGAATTTTTAATTGCAGTTCCTAAAGGTAAATTCTTCTCGTGAAAATAGAAAGCTGGATATGTGTTTAAAACTATATTGTCTTTGTTTAATTCATATAGATAGAATGTTCCATTCTCAATTGGAAATGTATAGTTTTTTACCTGGACTGTATCTAATTGACTCGTGTGAGCTAAATTTATGTAACTAAAAGTACAAACTACAGTAACAATTAAAAGTACTTTTGTCTGAAACATTTTTGTTCTAGTATTATTTTCTTGAGTGTCTTGTAAAGGTGAATTTATTTAATGACTTAAATAGTAACAAACAACATATTTATACTTTTTCCATTTGTTTTATGCGCATGTCTAGGTTATAAATAAAAACAGAAAAATGTTTTTTTTATTAAATAATTATAAATTCCAAACAATAACCTTGTTTTTTATACAAGGTCTTGCTTGGAAACATACAGGACAAGTTGTAATGATAGTTTTGGATTTCCAATTATTGTCCATTTTTGTTTGTTTGTTTGTTTGTTTGTCGACTAATGGTGTGTCTACAAACACCACATACTACTTCTTGTACTACACCGGCAGTGTATGTTCTGAATTTTATTCCAGACATCTAATTTTTAGGATTTGGTGGTATTGCTGTTCTTGTTGTGGTTATTGTATATTTCTTCTTATTTAAGATTCTTGCTTACGTAATATTCTTCTCTCCCACTTTCTCTCTCTTCTCTCGATCTGTTTTAGTATGTTTATTGAAATAGAAAATTGATTTCTTGATTGAATTATCTCCTTAAACAATAAATTTTTTTTTTTATTTTTCAAATTTGACAATAAATAATTTGGTAACTTACAGAATAGTTTTTAAGACTTCCAATTGTTTCCAATGTCCAATGTGATTAAATTGTAAACTAATTAAGCATAAAAACGAACTGTTATTATTTATTTATTAAATAACTTTTGTTTTAAAATGAATAATAGTCATTGAATCCCCATGGTTTTGTATCAGTGTAAACATTAGATACAATTCTTTTATCATCATAGGGACTCAAAGCAATTTTTTTTTGTGAAATTGTATACACTTCATGTTTTTTTGAAATGATGGAATTCTGGTAAACTTCCATTTGTGAATTGTTAAACAAGCACTTGTGATAATCCTCAAATCTTATATATTTTAAAGCTGATTTCTTAATACCTTTTGCCTTTCGAATTTCAATTTCCGTTTCTTTATCTACATCATCATCATCAGATTGAATAGATGATGATGATGATGTTGACATTACTTTTAAAGCATACATTTTTGATAATCCAATAAAGTGTGTCATGATATTACCTTTATTCTCATCTTTCATCAAAGCTAAGACTTTGTTATTCTTTCTTGGAATATTAAAAACGTTATTTTCTGGATAGTCTGATGTATCAAACTTATCTATATCGTTTTTAATATGTTTATAAATGTCATCAATATCAGAGAAATGGTAAATTAAACTGTCGGTGTCTGTGTACATTAATTTTGCCTTATTATTAAACTTCTTTTTTATATAATTATAATGAAAATCGTAAATAAACGTTTTTGAAATATCTAATATTGATGTTCCTATAAAGATTGGTTTGTTTAAAGTTACTTTTAATTTACTCATTTCAATAATTATCATATTTTCACTAAATATAGTACAACTATGAAAATTAGGTTGTGAAATGTAGTACTTAGCACCATATCTTCCTAACCATTTAGTCACTAGCTTAACGTCCTTATAATTTCTAACGTTCTCGATACATTTGCCATATTGGGCATTATTCATTAATTTAAAAAAGTTTTTTTCAAATTCATTTTTGCTCTGTTTTCTTAGATCTGTATTTAAATCGATATATGGTTTAAGCCAACATGATTGTTTGAATTTAAGACAACGATGAATTTTTTTAACCACAATTCCCAACTGTATAGCTTGTTTTAATGCTAGATAATGAATCACATATTTTTCTTTATCATACAAAGTTGTTAGTAATTTTGGTTGATCAGAATATGATATAGGTGATACTAAATGTTCAGGACAGAGCGGTAAATCTTGATGTAAATTAAAGAGTTCCCTAGGATAATGTAAATCAACTTCAAGAATATACCCGTATTCATCTAAGTCATAATGATTATTACTAAAGATATTTTCTCTATAAATATCTTCATTGGATACCCACTGAAATTCTCCATATGGTAATGGAAAACACATTGCGGTTCCATATAAATTATTTACATCGAAATATATTAAATATGAAGTAGGTAAATCAGGTTTATATTTTTCACCCATATATAAGTTGTTTGCTTCAGCATATCTGTTACTACATTGTGAGACACCCCCTCTAATAGATTTTTGAATAAATAAAGACATATTAATATCAGTAAGTAACTCTATATCTACATTTGTAATTTTAAGCATAGCATCAAAAGCAAAACCAGGTGTTGTATAGTAATGAAGAGCATCCAACTCGTATGTTTTCAAACACATGACTCTAAAATTTTCAAATACATCAACAAGCAACAGTACATCGGTTTGTAAATATAATTCTGCATATTCTTGAAGATTATTTAAATTAAATTTATTCCAAACATTACAAGCGTGTTCATAATCTTTATCAGATATTCCTTCACTTGTAAGTTTGCTATAGAAATCCTCCTTTTTGGGTAAATATTTATCTTTTAATTTTTCCCAGGAATTTAAATACTCATAAGGAAAAATACCTTTTCTTGTAACTAATTTAAATTTATCATCATCACTAAAATATTTTTTTGTAATTTTTTTTTCATTATCATCTAAATAAGATGATAATTCATTTAAACTATTTGACATAAACCTAAATGAATCTAAAAATCTAAAATTGATTTTAGTTCCACTAATATACTTTGTAAATGAAATATATTTTTCTTTATTTAATGGTAGTAAAGTAATATTTTCTTTAAGTTTTGTACTAAGAGCTTTGATAATAAAATGACTATCATACCCTGACAAGTTATGAAATAAAACTGGAACAGTATGTGAATTTTTATAATTTAAATTACATGCCTTATGGCTACTCCCACGAAACCTTTTTGAATAGTGGCAATGGTCCCTTACTTTTATATCACCATCAAGAAATGGTTTATGACAAATATGACAAGTAGTAGACATAAGAAAGTTAATTTCTTCTTCGACAGTTAGGTTCATTGGTTCTGCATTATTATGAATTTCATTAAGGTCTTTAGCAATTTTTTGTAATTCATATACAAACCAATCCAAACAATCATGACCTGTGTAAAGTCTAAATTTAGATTGATATTTATTTTCAAAATGTGATTTTAAATAATATGCAACACTAAATGCTTCATGTTTTTGATATATTTGTGTATTACTTGTTTGTACATCATCAACATAATCATTCAGTATACTTTCAATATCTGCATAAATTACAAAAGGAACAGGTTCTTTGTTTTTAAAGTTTTTAAATTTCATAATTTTGTGTGTTTCTTTAGGCATGACAACTTTAGTTTTATTAACATTTTTACAATCTTCTAAATGTTGTTCTAAATTAAATCTACTCATGAAATGATTTAAACATATGTCACATATCCATTTTTTATGTTTAATATTACCCAATTGTCTATTAACTAAACATGATAAATCTTTTATAAAAGCAAAATGAAAAATATTTTTATTAGTTGTATCATCATTATTTCTATCACTATCCCAATTATTTTCACAAGCGATCATAAGCAAATTAATTCGAGGAGAGAATTCATTCTTACTAAGTGTTAATTGTAAAATTTCATTTTTTCCTTTAATAATAAACACATTTATTGAAAGTTTATTTAATGCTTCGAATTTTGGTATATCTTTCAAGTTTATAGGAAATTGTATATTGTCATATTTTAATACTCTACTAAAATGAGGGTATGATGATGACCTATTAGTATTAGTGTTAGCTGGATAAAGAGCACACACAACAGCCCACAAAAAACAATACGAATCATTGTTTTTAATATTGATTACACTTTTTGTATTCCTAATAAAATCTGGTAACTTAACATAAGTTGATATACCAATATTAATAGGACAGTAGCTATTCATGTTAACTTTTAAATGTAAAATTTCCAATAATGCCCACCCTGAGTCCCGTTCTTGAAAGGATTCTAATTTAAATAAAACTTTGTCAATCACATACAACTCATACCACTCTTTTAAATTAGTATTTACATCTATAATTTTATTTTTTGTAGAAAAATGTTTAATAGATCTTTCACCATTTTGAGGTTTGATGAATAATGCGAAAAAGATACAATTTGCTTTTAGTATACAAGATTTAAGTTGTTTTTTATTTGAAATGAAAAACTTTTAAAAGCTTTTTGTAAAAATAATTTTGAATCTTTAAATTTAAAATTTATTATTATACCTGTTTTAATTCTTCTATTAAAACATGATTCTAAGTCCTGCCAAATAAGTTGTCGTTTTGAAAGTTACTTGTTTAATTTAGATTTAAAATTTTGAAGGTACATTTTTAGTATTGATAGGTTGGATTCTATTTTTGAAAAGTTTTTTACACAGTTATATCTATTCTTTATACATTTATTTAATAAAAAAATATGTTTTTTCAAATACCCTATGTATTTTTTAAGTTCGTTTTTTGACTTAATTATTCTACTCACCACTTCAATTTTTCGAACAAATTCTTCGGACATACAATCAATTACTTTCTGAGAACTCATCATTAATAGTGACAACTTGTTGCTCTGGTAGATTGAAAAGAATCAAACTCGTTTCCGTCAAATATTTATATACTAAAAATTGATGATTAAACACATTTTTACAACGAATGTTTCTCGAATGTTACTGTTGCTATATGCATTGTCAGCAGTTTTTACAACATTACGTAAACCCACACGCAAAATATATTGTTTGCTTCATTCTCATTAATTGGATATATAAAAACTGCTGACAATGCTTATAGCAACAGTTAAATTCGAAAAACATTTAATGTGAATTGTAATGTTTTTTTTCAACAATTTGTGTATAAATAATCATTTCTCATACTAATCAGTATCAGTTGAATTTTGATGAAGAAGACTACTACTCTGCAATGGCTACTACACCATCCTCATTAGTGATTTTCACAGAAGATAAAATCAATTTCCCCATCAAGGTGGCGATGGTGGTAATGAAACAATTATTTCAGTGAGTATATATATATTTTTTTTTGTTTGATATTTATTTTCTCTTAATAATAATTTTTTTAAATATATACTTATCCTTGTTAATAATTTGTTTAAATTGAATATAATGATTTCGTTTTTAATTTATTTCAGATATGGTGTACGGGATATAAGTACGAAACAAGGAAAAATGTTTATAAATTTAACATATTCTCCAAGAACTGCCACTTTAAAACGTAAATTTGGAAATTTACCAGTTCGTTACATGAGGGTTAAAATTCAAACTGATGAAGAATTTAAAATGTTGGAGAAAGTGGTTAAGAGATATAAATTTAATCTACTTGATGAACAACCAGAGGATTTGGACCGGAAGAGAATAGTAGTATCACCTGGTCCTAGTGATGCTGGTAATAGAAAATATTATTTGGAACCACCACAGTTGTTGTGGTCTGATGGTGATAATGATTCTGAAGAGGATGTAGTGTCTCCCAAGAATAAAAAACTTAAGACGGGAGAACAAAATCAACAACAACAACAACAACAACAACAACAACAACAACAACAACAAGAACAAAGTTTAGAAGAAATTAATATTGAAGATGATGAGCTTACTAGTGTCACTAGTAACATAAATCAGTATTTATCACAAAACAATTTTTTTTAAATAAATAAATTAATAAATAATTAACTCATCAACTCTTTTTCATCTTAATCATTTACAAATCATTGTTGTAATAATATATTATTATTTTTAATAAAAATTATTTTTTTTATTAACAATAAACATCTTTATAATTTAACCATAATACTATCTCCTATATAATCCTAAACCATTAATATATTACGTTAGTATATATATATATATATATATATAAAGCTGATTGAAAGAAGATTAAAACAGATCAAGGCGGATCAAAGCTGATCAAGACCTAATTAAAAGCTGATCAAAACCTGATTAAAAGCTGATCAAAACCTGATTAAAAGCTGTTCAATACCTGATTAAAAGCTGTTCAATACCTGATTAAAAGCTGATCAATAAACAGATCATTGAGATTTAAATCATGGATAAAAATTTAAAAAAGAGACTTATAATAAAACGACAAAGTGTAAAAAATAAATTAAGGTTACTTAAACGAGGCGAAGTCTTACAAGAAGATCTATTTAATCCTATAACAAAACACTTAAAAAATATTGAACATAAATTGAACAATTCTCAAAATAATATCAAAAATGAGTTTAAAGATGACGAGGAACAATATTCAAGAGAAACTGATCAGTTTGCCAATGTTTTGTCTTTAAAGAAAAATGAAAATGATATTAAAAGCAATGATGATGATGATGATGATGATGATGATGATGATGATGATGATTATTATGATGATGATGATGATGATGATCTAAATGGTGAATTACATAAATCAAATTTGGAAAATATAAAGTCTGAAACAGTTTCTAATAATGATCCTCAAACTTCAGAGGACTTACGATTTGAAGATGCCTCTCAACATTTTATTGAAGATTATCATCTAGAACAATATGATCCATTACCTAGAAAATATATTGATGAAATGTATCGTGATATAGATAACAAAGAATTTGATCATAAATACGGAATTCGATTTGATAGTTCTACTAAAAAATTAATGATTGGTGATTCACAAGTATTCATCAATGATTCTGACGTAATTGTAAAAAATAAAAAATACAAGGGAACTCAAGGTTTATACGAGTTGTTATTTAAAAAACATCCTAAGAATTTTTCCAAACAAGATGAAGAAAATTATTTAAAAATTGTCCAAAAAACTAATGCTAATAGGAGATATTATAGAGCAGATAAACAAGTAGACGGTAGTAAAAGTGTAAAATATAAAAAGATAATTGCTCCAATAACAGACGGAAGGGGAATGTTTATGGAAGTTACCAATAACCAAATAGATTATATTCATTGGGATGATCCAAATGCGTTTATTAATAGCTTCTCAAGAAGCAGTTCATACTAGTCATAGAAATGAAATAAATTCTATTATTGAGGAACTTAAAGAAGCACGTATTATAGCATAAAAAAAAAACAAAATAAAAATGAAAAACAAGATAAATATTAAACGTCAAGTGGTTAATGAAATTCATAAACCTGGTTAATGAAATTCATAAACCTGCTAGAATTAATTTTAAAAGAAGAAAAGTTATACTTAAATCGTACAATGATTTATTTCAAGCTGATTTGGCAGATATGCAAAAATATTCAAATGAAAATAGAGGATACAAACATATACTAATAGTAATTAATTGTTTTTCAAAATTTGTATGGGCTTTCCCTCTAAAAAATAAAACAGGTTCTGAAGTGGCAAAAAGTATTGAAAAAGTGTTTCAACATCAACAACCTAAAAATTTACAAACTGATTTGGGTACAGAATTTTTTAATCCACCAATGAGAGCTTTAACAATGAAATATAATATTAACCATTATAATGTATATAGTGAGAAAAAAGCATCTATTGCAGAAAGAGTTATTAGAACCTTAAAATCTCAATTATGGAAAGAATTTAGTTTCAATGGTAATTATAACTGGATAAATATTTTACAGAGTATAATCAACAAGTATAATAATACAAAACATAGAACCATTGGATTGAAACCATCAAAAGTTAATAAAAAAAATGAAAAATAATTATTAAATTCTGTATATAATAAAATAAAACAAGTAGATTTAAAAGAACAAAAATTTCAAATTGGTGAACAGGTTCGTATTTCTAAAAATAGAGGTGTATTCGATAAAAAATATATACCGAATTGGTCGACTGAAATTTTTAGTATACGTAAAGTTAGATTAACCAATCCTATTACATATTTATTAAAGGATTATAAAAATGAAAATATTCTGGGTACATTTTATAATGAACAGTTACAAAAAGTTAAATATCCAGATGTATATCTTGTGGAAAGGATTTTAAAAAGAAAAGGAAATAAAGTTTTTGTAAAATGGCTTGGTTTTGATAACACCCACAATAGTTGGATTGATAAAAAAAATGTATTGTAATGGAGGGGGGGAAGGCTTTAAATATAAAAGAAGAACAGATAATTTGTATTTAATTGTATAAAAGTATTCAAACAATTTTAAATATGTTTATCATTGATGTCCAAGGGTTTTCATTTCCTGAAGAAAATGTATTTTTATGTAGAGAAATTACAATTTTTAATATTGAAAATAAGGATTATGTACATAAATTTGTGAAGCTACCGTTTACAAGAAAAATGATGTGTTCAACAGTATTGAATCATATTAATTTCACTACTAACAATATACATGGTTTGGAATGGGATTCTTGGAACCAAGAGGATGAACTCAATTACGAAGAAATATCCAAATTTATCCAAAGTTATGTGTTAGATGAAAGTATTTTCGTGGCAAATGCAAATATAGAAAAATATTTAAGAAACTTTATTTTTAATAAAATAATTGTATTGGAAAATTATCCAGAAATGTTATCGTATGACGATTGTAAAGTCATATTTAAATCTCGTCAATGTAACAACCACATTCCAAGTAGAAATATTATATGTGCGTTAGAAAATGTTTATTTTCTCTATTATTGGTATGAATATTGTAACAATAGAAAAATAAATAAAGACTAAATATGTTTATGTATGTGTTTTATTAAATATATAATATCCTAATATATATATAAAAAAAATCAAATATTAAAAATATACAATTTATTTATAACTAACATAATAAGAGAAGCAATAATTTAATTTTAAAAATTTGAAACAACGTTGGTTAGAGAATTATATTTAATACTTTTATCATGTATAATTAAACAAAAAGCTGTAGTATTTGCTGATATGTTTTTACTTGTTTCAAATTCTAATCGTATGTCAACACTACCTGATTTTAATGGATCATTTTGATTACTGCAATCGATGACTGTTATTGTAGCTAAATCACGAAATTTTAAATTGGAGAGACATGGTTCTCCAATATCTTTATAATAATAGTTTTCTTGAAAATTAGCATACATTTCATAGAGAATAGCATATATATTTTTTTCAAAATTTAAATTTGTATACGGATACATTTGTGAATTTAAATATAATTTCATATTCGTTAAATTACAGTGATCAAATCGACTCATGTTTTTTGATGCATCGTTTTTCTTATTAGTTTGAAAACCCACAATAACATAACGAGGTTTTTCAACTGAATTGGTTGTTTTTATATTCCATGTATGTCTCGTTGATTGTTGTAGTAACGGATATTCATGAAGTTCCCAACTGCGAAAGTCAAGTTCTAATTTTTTTCCGGCATCCATATAATTAATTAAACGTAGTTTTTCAATATCAGAGACTTGCACATGATGAAGTTTCCAGAACATTTTTGTCAATTAAATTTTTGGTTTTTCATTTGCTTTTGTTGAAATTATAGCATTCACATCTGTAGAACTTCGAATCAATACAAGTTCTTGTCGTATGTTTATGATAATTTTTTTATAATCTTCAAAAAAGCCTAGCAACATTCTTAACGGTATACAAACATTAAAATATCCTTGACTATCTACAATTTGTGGTGTTAAAGTAGGATTCCAACCCAAAGCGTTTAATCTATTGGATTCACTATCAGTAAATGAAATATAACCCTTTAATGTTGATGTAATACCAGGGTTGCGAACTCGGTCTATAACACATCCACCAATTTCAAAACGAATTTCATCAAAAAGATGTGCTAAACCGTTATTAACAAAATTTAATGTTGCACTTTCTTTTCCCTCAGAGTCTGTCAAACGTCCTTCAATGTATAAGTAACTCTTTGAAGGTAATGTATAAATATCTTGTGTTTGCAGTGGTATACGTATTTCATCCGAATTATTATAGGTTGTATTAGCATACGGAGGATGATCAAATATTTGACAATCAACAATAGCATTATCAACTAATATATGATTATCAACGTTTAATATATCAGAATTCATTTTTTTTTCTTTGATTATTTTTTATGATGATAAGACTTTAAATCCAAGGGATAACAAAATGTTTTTATTTTCTGGTGTTAACTGTTTGAGTCTTCTTTTTATACTGTTAGTGGTAATAGAAACGTTTTCTTTTTTATCATTATAAAGTGGTGATGACATCACAGATGAAGATTTTCTGTTATAAATTAGGACCATTTTTTTATTTTTCAAACTTTTCTTAAATGAAGTCTTACTGTTACAACTTCTTGTTTAAAATTGATAAGATTTCCATCTCGATCCACTATTTTAATAACAATTTCATCAATATACTTAGTATTGATTGGTAAATAGATAACATTGGTAGGCACCTGAATAATTTTATAACCTGGTGGTACCCTAGGAAAAAACATATGTACTGTATGTACAGATTTATTATTATTATAAGAATTTCTAACGATATTACAGTCAATGCAAATTGAATTAACTTTATTAATGTTTATCGGATATTTGGATTCATGTGTTTGAAAAGCTGATAATTTTTTCTTCTCAAAACCTAATAAGGATGCAATTGATTTAGGTTTTTCAAAGTGTATCGTTTTATTACTTTTTATTTCACATTTCAGAGTGTTGTGATTAGTTTTTAATAACAATACTGTCTCATATTCTCCTTCCTCTTCTCCTTCTTGTTTATTAGAAATATCTCTTTTGATTCTTTGTTGATGTTCTAGAGGTTTAATTATATTTGATTTAACCAATTCGGGTTTTTCTTCTTCAGATTTTTTTAACACATTTGATTTGTTTGTTTTATTAGTTTTATCACCACTCGATGAGGATTCCTTATGATACTCGATTTCTTTTAATTTAAAATGTATATATCTCGCTATGTCATCTACTTCATATGAACCTTCAGGTATACTAATTTCATGTTTATCTATATAGAACATATTATTTGTTTTATCAACATTTGGAATTGTATTGTATGTAAAGAAATCAATTAAACCAATCTGATAGTCTGCTTCTTCCTCTAAAATTATTGGAGGATATATTTTTGTTGATAATATAGAATCACGTCCTGATATTACAAAAGTTGAAGACATTGTAACTGAATAAAGGTTGGAAATAAAATAAACAAAAACATATTTATTACTCTCTATTTATTTAAAAAATATAAACATAAATGACCACAATTAAAAGTATTATTTTTTTGATACACTCCATGATTATATAAAATGTGACAAAAACCATTAGAGTTAAAATATTTGAGTGCTTCTAATGGAGGTTGAAGATTACCGTAGCTATCAAAGTATATGATTTGTGATTGATTTTTTTTATATGCTGTCCAGTGTGTTCCATTACCATTTTTGTTATCTAAATTAATAATACCCGTTTCATTTGTCCAAATTTTTTTTGGAAAATCATTTCTCATAAATACTCCTCTGAAATGTTGAATATTCAATATTTTAACATATTTTATTAAATCGATATTGGTTAATGGACGTTGTGGTAATTTTATTTTTCGTCCATTAACTTTTGTCGTTATAAAAAAAGACCCAGTCCTGATTTGTAGGGTTTCAAATCGAGTCCTTTACCAATTGCAATAGATTCCATTGTTTTGTTATGACGATGAGATTCCAGCAATTGTTCTTTCGCAGCTTTAGCATCACCCACTGCTTTCGCAATTGACGCAGCCCCTCTAGTCAAGGCTCCAAGGGCACTTAGTCCAGCAAAAATTGGTATTAACGGTAGTATTCCACCTGTTTTGGGAACTTTGATGACTCGTGGTTTTGATATTTTCTTGTTAAATGACTTTAAAACTTTTAACGCTAATTGAATAGCTGAGCCCAGAGTTTGTGGTTTACTAATTAAAAGTTGTTTTTTTATCTTTTGAATAGCTTTTGATAGAGTTATCGTTTTGAGTTTTTTTGATTTTTTCACATTAATTTTTCTTTTTGACTGTTTCCTTTTCGATTTACTTTTTTTTGTAGATGACATTTTGATTATTTTTTGTTCTGTTAACAATAATCAGAGAGAGACTGATCAAACAATTTGGATGCTTGCATATTTATATATTTTTGATTTTTTTACCATTTTCTTCGTTGATACTACTCTCTTCAAATTTACGTTTTTTGTTGTTAGTTATTTTAATAGGTTCATTTAAATCTATTTTAGGTTTTTTCAACGATAAACCATCATCATCGTCATCATTATCCATAATACTGTCACTTAGTTTTCTCTTTATAAGTTTTTGTCGTTTTGGTTTTAAATCTTCACTCTCTTTTATTTCTAAAGGAATAGATATTTTTGTCATTGGATAATCATCAGCAATATCAATATCCATCTTTTCTTGTTGTTTAATTTTTCGTGCTCTTACTTTGCTGTCTTGTTGTTTTTTAACACTAGCTTTATGTTGTAACCGTTTTTTATTTGATGTTTCCGAATTAGTAGTGATTGGATTTCCTTGTAAAATTGTAATACAATAATTTATACTATCTGTTACTTTTTCTAAAACTTTTTTCACTTTATTCAATTCCTTATTACAATTTTTTATCGACATCTTATAATTTTTAGGTTTCAATCCTAGTCCTAATTTAACTTTTGCTTTCATTACACCAAGAGCGGACAGCTTTTCTGAAAATGCTGTATTTTTTGATCGGAATTGACTCATTGCTTTCTCAGCTAAAATTTTATCAGCTTCATGTCGTTTTTTAACATTTTGTTCTTGAGAATAGGCTATATCATGTTCACGACAGGCTTCATCTAAACCATTTATACCTTTATCACCTCGAGATAATCGTTTTTGTAACTTTGTTCCAGGTCCACAAAATCTATAACCAGGAATATGTAATTCAATAGGTAACTTATTTATAGCAGCATTTAACATTGTTGATTGTTTTAGTTCAACATCAAACAGTGAAATACTCAAAAAATATAATTTATATCATATATATATACCTATATGAATATTATGATCTATTATTTTTATACAGACAATCAAAGAGAATAGTAATCATGAAGATAGTTAAACAAAATACAACCTTAAATGTTGAAAATAATATGTTTGAAGATTTAAAAAAAAATGGATATAAAAAACATAGTATTTTGTTTCCTTCTACTATCAGATGTTTAATCATAGGTCCATCTAATTGTGGTAAAACTAATGTAATGATTAACTTGATAGAACATCCGAATGGATTAAAATTTGAAAATGTTTATGTCTATTCTAAATCTTTATATCAACCTAAATATAAATATTTGGAAACTTTACTGAAACCTATTAAAGGGATTGGATATCATACATTCAGTGCAGGTACAAACATAATGCATCCATCTGAAGCTAAACCTAATTCCATTTTTATTTTCGATGATGTTGCTTGTGATAATCAAAATGTTATTAGAGAATATTTCAGTATGTCTAGACATGCTAAAGTGGATCCGTTCTATTTAAGTCAGAGTTATGCAAAAACTCCTAAACATTTAATTCGTGACAACTCAAATGTTTTGATTGTATTTAAACAAGATGATATGAATTTAAAACATATCTACAATGATCATGTTGGAACCGATATGACATTTGATCAATTCAAAAATATGTGTTCCTTCTGTTGGCAAACAAAGTATCAATTTCTATCAATTTTTAAAGATAATGATATGGACAAAGGACGTTACAGAAAACAGTTTGATCACTTTATTTCATTAAAATAACTATATTGTTATAATTAAATAGATAATAAATATATAATTCTCAATCATTATTGTTGTTTTAATTCGCTTACCTAATAAATAAAAAAAAGACAAAAAATTTATTATAAATTTTAATATCAATCACTATAATATTGTGTTGTATAATGTGATGGTATGTGTTTAGCATTATCATTTTTTTTAAAAAAGTCTTTTACTTCACAAACGAAACATTTCTTATATCCGCATCAGTTTCTCCACCACATATAATACACTTATATTTTATTGGCACTGGCATCTTATACAAGAAAACAAACAATAGGTATCCTTAATATTCAATCCACGAGTTTGGCTCACAAGCACTTTGCTCTCTTCTACACCTCATAAAACAAAATATTTCTAAACTGTACAATCTTCGTGAAAATTTGTGTTCAAAATAACAGTAGTTACAATTATAAATATATATTATTCCTACAGGTCTAAATGGTGTCGGCCTGTTGGAATTCATTATAAATAATGAATTAATCAACAAATTTGTATTATTTATATACATGTTATCTGTGTGAACTCTAACCTTTTATATTTTTTCTTTCCTACAATACGGGCTAGGCTAGGCGAGGCTCGTCAGTACTCTTCAGCCTCATCTCTACAGGTGACATTTTTCACACCTGTATATACCTGTACCTATGACGTCTCTGGTTACCTGCGGCTACCCTTAGGGCAGTTCTTTTGTTTAGGGGTTCTTCGGGGGTGTTCTGAAGGTAAAGACCTCTTTCTGGTCATTGTCGATCACTTCTTCTTCGTTTTCGGCTACTTCTTCAGGGCCTACGTCATCCGAGTTGAGAACTGGATGGACAGCTTACCAAAGTGATCCAATCCCGCTCTAGCTCATCTACTCCGGTGGTATTCGAACCTGAGACCATTCGACCTCAAAGCCGTGACTCTAACCACTGAGCCAACCGACCTCTTCATATTATTATTATTTTTTAAATATCATTATTATTATTATCCTGAATAACATGTTTGTAAAGTTCCTAAGGAAAAAAAAAAAGCGAATTGGAAATATTGAGACTTTTTAAAAACACATTGCGTGTCACGCTGTTATCAGGAAAATAGTCCCAGGGGCCAAACTACATTTTTGCAATATTTGTATGTATTTACTCAAAATAAAGGTTTTTTGATAATTATCTGTTTTTTTTGTAGTTTTTAGCTATTTTTTGTTACTTTTTTTGTGTCTCTCATATATGAGCGACACTTGTCATAGTAAATTTATTTTTCCAAATTTGCTCAAACCAAGACCAATATTACTTTCCCCAGAGGCCAAGCTTGGGATTCTCCATTTGAAATAAATGAGCGACGAAGCCCCCGGCGAAATGTTTGTGTCTCTCATATATGAGAGACGTGGCACGCAATGTGTTAAAATGTTGCGGGTAACTTTACACAGGGTCATGAAATGTGTTACGGTTCCACCGCAACAATATTTAAAAATCAGAAAGTCTAACTAAAATAAATAAATTACTTACTTAAATTGAAAAGCAAACCATAAAATTGTCACTAAACACATTTATTTACAACTTCAGTCATTCCATACAATCAGTTCCTGATATAAATAGGTAGTTAACCCACTTGTCCCTGAACCATGAAACACTCAATAAAAACTCATTATATTTTAGAAATTTCTTTATTTTATTCTTATAAACAATGTTTGATATATATATTACCAAAAATATCCAAATTTTTCGCAAAAACCACTGTCTTATATATAGGACGTCTGGAAAAAGTACTACTTTCACTTTGTACTATGATAGTCGACAAAACATTTGACATGAAACCACACTTTGTAATGGTTTTAAGATGACAGTGTCGGCATCTGGTTTGTTTATCTTGCGGAATGACATAATGATTCATTCCATCAAACCGCGAGTCAATATTTTCTCTTTGACTTGGGCGTCCCTTTGAGTAAGTGTTAGTTTTTTGTTTGTTTGAAGAAGAAAAGTAGCTATTCTTCTTCGAAAAGCTAAATGGTCTAGCTGTTGATTTTGATTACGACATAGTTGCCATACGTTTTGTATTGCCATATCGATACAGTGGGAAAATATACAAAAGTACCATTTTTGGCCTCTAATTTCAGTGCGGTATAAAGAAATGTTTTGGTCACTTCTATCGACGCCACCCATATTCTCGTTGTATAGTTTCATCATAAATGGCTGGGGCACTAGAACTGATTTTTTTTCTTGCTGGGAGTACCGCTTTACCATGCGAATGGGATCGACACCAACAGCATTTGATGCTAAGGACACTACGCAGTTATCAACTGTTAATAACAACTAAGTATATTCCATTTCAAATCAAGTCAAATAAGTCAATTAGAAATATATTGGGATACGTAAACAAGGTAATTAGGTCTCATATCGGTATAATTGTTTCAAATATTTCTTTAAAGTAGTTAAGATTTATAAAAATGCAAAATACCTATCCAAAAGAAAACTATTATTAAGACATCATATATCCCGAAAAAAATAAGAAATTAAAACTCAGATATGGATTTTTTTTAATTAGTAAATAATATTGACAGAAGCTCTTTCACAAACTGAACATGACAGTAATTTTCAATTACTGATGACAAAAAAAATCGACGGCGAAATGGCCGCCGGCGAAACGGCGACGGCGAACTGGCTCGACGGCGAAACGGCGATGGCGAAACGGCGACGGCGAAACGTCCCATCCCCTTGTTGTCATTCCAACACAGAACTGTTAGATTTTTATAAAGATCTGTTTTGTAATCATGCGCTCCTCTTGCAGATTTTTTCATTTCAGCTGTTGATTTCAAAGGATTATTTACAATTCTTTTACTTCGAATTGTACCAGTTCCCCATATGCCATTTGCTAATAGTTGTCCAAAAAGCGGCAATCCTGTAAAGAAATTGTCAAAAAAGATATGAAATCTACTATCTGGCCACCGACTTCTAAGAGCATCTACATAGGTAAGGACTACGCCAGCACCCACTCCCAATTCCTTATATTCTGGTGACACGTGAGTGGACGCTCCCTGTTATGGTTCAAACCAATTTATATATCCATTTCTTGTGCAGCCTACCCAAAGTTTGTAACCCCATCGTATAGGCTTGCCTCTTATGAACTGTATAGCGCCATGTCGTCCAAAATAAGGCACCGTTGCTTCATCAACGCTGTGGTGTTCTTGATAGGGTGCAAATTTCAAAAAGTTTCTGTTCAATGATGTGCAGAGTGGACGTACTTTTCCAAATTTGTCAATAGGAGCAAGGTTATTATTATCAGCTATATGAAATACCTTC